TAGCAAGCCGCGGGCATATGTAATATGCCCAGGCCCTCCATAAGTCACCTTAGATCAAAATTTATATATGGCGATAATACAGGGCTTTAATATGTTAGACCATCATTTCAGTCTTATTTAAAGAATAACATGGTGTGTTGCAAAGGGTTAATGGTGGTGTCCATCACATTGTGATTCACACATTTTCCTACTATATACATTGTATGTACATACTGGGTATGTGCGTCCTCGTGATTTATTCCCTCTCCCATATACCCATAAGAATTTTAATATGGGGCTATAATACTAGGCGTTAATATGTTATACATCAGTTTCTACAGGAGATATATGCATGCGTCCATAAGGGTTTAAATGGATGGCTCTATAGCCAGTGTGTGTGAGTCCAGAGACATTGACGTTCGTTCCATACCATTGCATAATGTAGCCATCTCAGTTGCATAAACCTCTAAAGTGTGTAAGGATTTGTCAGTCCATCAGTGTCTCTGATTTTAAAGTCTCTTGGCTAGAACTGTCATGCAAGCTTTAGTGAGACTATGTAGGGTACATATACGTTTCTCCCGACGTCTGTCTGGCTTGTGTAGTGTAGATTTGGCAAGTCCACACTCAGTATCAACAACAGGTACCATACTCAGACAGCGTATTAGGAAGGCGACTTTACACCTCTGCTGAAATCGTGGTATCGTCCATCATTGCCTGCTGTCCAGCATTCCTCTCTTCAGCGGTGACCATGTAGAAAACCCATGTGATGAAGACTGGGGGACCATCTTCGGAGTCCGCCGCTTTCGGGCGCTTGTTGGCCTCTCATCAGCAGAGCATACCCAACGTCCTCGACTCTCTCTGCGCTCTGGCGTCACCAGTTTTATAAAGGCGGCCATGATGACGCGAGCACTACTGTTGGTTCTGACTATGAGGTTCATCCCACAAGGCACGCTCAGGCTACCTGTAGGCAGCTATGTACTACCTAAGGTTTAGTGTGTGTTTAGTACCAACTTTTGATGCTCGTGTGACTGGTCTCTCAGGTACCAACCAGTCGAGTCCATGTACATTGTACATAGACATATCAGACTTCACGGCATGAGCGACGGAGTGAGAGGACGATTCTACACCACCGACAGGTCATGACTGTCTCTCTTCCACAAGTACGGAGAGTACTTCCCGGCACTGGGACCTCACGGTACTCTTTGATACCAAAGTTTTGCACTATATCCAGTATACAATGACACTTTTCATTAGATACAGTGTTGTACTGTAATAGATTGTGGCAATGTAGTTCTAAGGGATAAATGTTACTCACAAATCACATTCTTGCATTGACTTTTTTAGTCCGATGTTTAGTAAATTTAACCCTTATGTATGTACTGACAAATTGTCTTATGATGGGCATGTGCCTTCCAGTAAGCATGTAATGTATCCGTCACCTATGGTCCGTCCCATCTGGCACGGGACATGGGGCTGAGAAAGGGAAGTACAGTACTATGCATGTATGTACAACGTCACCTGTAACATGCTCCGTCCATCTGGCAACAGGACGTGGGGCGAAGAAGGGCAAGTACTGTGCAGTCAACTTCCCACTGAGAGATGGCGTTGACGACAAAAGCTACAAGATGATCTTCAAACTGTCATGCCAGGGTCTGCTCTCCCTCTCCTTCTGCACTCTCACTCCGCCTGCCCCTCTCTCTACCTCTTCTTCTTCTTTGCCTGCCAGTACTGCTATTTGCTATGCAATGCCGGAAGTACAAGCTACGTATGTATAGTACAGGATAATGGGCTCTATGAATGGATTGACACTCTTGGCCTTTTCGTTCTCATGCTAGCTAGTAGCATGGAGTAGAGGTGCGTCGCAATGAGGATGTGTGTGTGTGTGTGTGTGTGACATGCATTGTGTGTCCTGACGGTGATGGAGGTGTACCGACCCAGTGCAGCGGGTGTTGCAGTGTGAGCTGACTCACTAGCTGGAGACCGCCTCGGATGTTTTCAACCCTCTCTATAAAGGTTGCTCTACAGTACACTGCATGTGTCAACTACGAGAGGCAAAGGCACAACAAAATACATGTCAACTACACCCAGGATTGAGGAACAGCAATGTGCAAAAGACTCATGTATGTACATACTGTATGTGTCTCTCTCCCCACCCTTATTATATTCCCTCTCTCTCTCTCTTTATCTCTTTTCTCTTTCTTGTCTTCTCTCTCTCCTTCCCCTCGTCCCCTCCTGCACCCAGCAACTTCCCTACACAACGACTACTTCGAGTACTAGGGACAGGACTTCAACTCACGCGTCCACGCGTCCACCAACATGACCAATCAGAACACACCTGAATACCTCAACAAGATCAAGATTGTTGTATGTCTGTGGACTGAAGATAGCGCTAAACAAAGTACCATTTGTAGTTAACAGTATATATTATAACTTTAGCCCTGGCAGAATTGTAAACACACCATACCATGTAACTTAGGCAGTCCTTGCAGCAGTGGGCATTAAATAGAATACCCGCACCTGCTGGGAATGTAACCAGATCGCTTCATAGCACTTTGACCGTTAGCTATGCAACCACTGTCAGTAGGTACTGTATGTACCACAGCCTATGAACTTATCATCCACTTTTCCTGACAAAAGTGTTGGGTATAATATGATGTAACATTTTCATATCTCTCCCCCTCCTCCCAGCTCTCAGTACTGAAGGATCAATACTGTATGATACTGTGTGAGACGGAATTGAACCACAAACAAGTCAAAGCCTTCAGTCAGAGAATTGACGAGGACTACACTTTACACATGTCAGTCTCTCCCTCTCTCTCTCTCTCTCTAAGTTAAAATGGTCGTGAAATCTAACTAAACAGTGCTGTTTTCTGACGATATTGTCCCTCTCTCACAGGCTGGCAGACAACCTGCCGGCAGCCACAGTGTTCAAGAACCTAAAGAGTGGAGAGCTGCAGTACGAGGACGGGTTCAAACTCGGGTTCTCCTACACGAGTCACGTCGTCATTAACAACCACCTCAAGATCAGGATCAAGTACCACGCGGTCCCCAAGTCAGTTGTTACAACTCATCTCTTCCAGTTATTGTCACTACATGTCAAACTCAATCACACTGATTTCTCTGCATCACACGGAATTATGCATGTTTCTAATAATTCCCCACCCACCAACGGCCTTGTGCTAAAAATATACTGAGTACGATGTTCTAGAAGGCTTACGTCGCAATGCTGTATGTTCCATATGCATACAGTACAGTATCATATCATTAGTGGGGTGTCCTGATTAATTAGTGGGGTGTCCAGATTAGTTAGTGGGGTGTCCTGATTAATTAGTCGGGTGTCCTGATTATTAGTGGGGTGTCATGATTAATTAGTGGGGTGTCATGATTAATTAGTGGGGTGTCCTGATTAATTAGTGGGGTGTCATGATTAATTAGTGGGGTGTCATGATTAATTAGTCGGGTGTCCACACAAAGTCTCATGCAACTCCAATGTATGGGAAGTCCTTGCAATAGGAAGTGCTGTATATTAATGCAACATGTGGCACAAACCATACATTGAGGCTGCACAAGACTTTTGTGTCACACATCAAAGTTGCACCATGTTTGCTGAGCTCTTCTTCCTCGTGACTGTTCACCTCAGATTTCTTGACCTTTCTTACCTCCCTCTCCTCCATTGACCTTTCACCTCTCTCTCCTCCATTGACCCTGACCCCTCTCCCCCTCGCAGGACGAGACTCTGGAAGAGACAGGCTGGAAGCTGGTCCATGGAGACGTGTTCAGACCTCCGTCCTACCCCACCCTCCTCACGGCCTGCCTCGGATCTGGCATCCAGATCTTCTTCATGATCCTCATCATCATTGGTATGGGAGGGATGGTATGAGTGTGTGGGGTGATAATTGAGAGATCTTGTGTTGTAGCTCTCTGAGTGCAGTAAGGACACTAGGTGAAGTGCCCGAGGGCTCTAGCTCATTATTGACCATCTTGATGCATTGTTTGTTGTTCTGTTGCAGTGTTTGCAATGTTTGGAATGTTGTCTCCAGCCAGTCGAGGAGCTCTAATGACAGCCGCCATTGTTCTCTTCATGTTCATGGGGTGAGAATTGACTCACTCTTCTCTCCTCTCTTTCTGTTTCAATATTCACTCTCTTTAGTACATAAAACTATAGTTTTGAACTCCTCATTTTCTTGCACTGAGCTTATTCCGGTATCTGGTTCCTCTCCTTTTCCACTCGATGAGTCGCTAAAACCTCCCACATTCTCGCTCCGCAACACTACAAATGACTCGTCTCTCCCTCCATCTCTCTCTGCTCTCAGAGCGGCTGCAGGCTACCACGCTGCCAGACTCTACAAGACCCTGAAAGGCTCCGACTGGAAGAAGGGAGCTCTTCTGACTGCCACTCTCTATCCCTCCACCT